GACGGTACCGATGTGACGGAATGGCTAAGACATGATTAGTTTAAAAGTGTTAGCCTAGGTATAGCCCACGTATTTTCGGAGGCAATTTAAAATGACAATTGATCACAAGCACTCGTAACAAAATGTATATTATTTACTAGTATGATTAGTCAGTGGTGCCTATTTCATTTTCCGAAGAGGTTCTCCAGAAGATCAATTCTATATAAAGAAGACAGCAATATTCTAACAGGAAACCGATGAGTCGAGTATCGTTTTGGTATTCGATACTCGGTACTACCGAGCGATACTCGATTACTCGAGTACTGGTTGACATCCCTTGACTGGTAACTAAATATGTTTTGGAAAATTTTATGAAATTCAATATTTATCCTTCAAATAAGGAGTACCTTCTGATTCAAACCAGTTCTAGCGTATGTTTTGTCAGAGGTGCTCTTGAGCCAAAGCCCTTCTTGGTCTGCAATCGGAATACGTGCTCATAGATCGTAAAGAAGTTTTGTAGAACGCTTGAAGGAACTACGATGTACCACTGTTTGTGACGAGACTTCTTAGAATTCAATAAACGAGAGTAAGCACGGGTCATTAATCTTCTGTGGGGAGAACGGGTTTATTTTGTTTTTAAATTTTCGTCAAAATCAAACTATTTTGTTCAATAACATATAGGAACAATCATTTTTTTCAGCAATGCTAAGTCAGTGTGACCTACTTAATGAAGTAGGTTTCTACTTTTCCTTAGATTCGTAGATGCATCTCACACTACAGTAAGTAGTTGTAGATTACTGAATTTAATTGGTACATAAAACTTAATCGTGTCTACGAACCAGGAAATGTTGATCAAAATGACCTGCATTAGTAAGTTGGTGTTATACTCCCTAGGATGAAATGCATATTGACACCAATATGAAATAACATCCATGAACTAACTTGAGCACACAACTTATCTATGCTCATTCAGATCAGAGTTGAATATTTTGGTGAGATGCCTTTATACCGCTAGGATGCATTATTACACCAATTTATATAAGTTTTGGTCATCTCGAATGTAAAACATTACAGAAATAACTAGAGGCTCTAAAGAGCCTGTGTCGCTCACCTAGCTCTGTGTACATCTTCAACAATGGACAATCTCCAACATTGTGGACTAAAAATGAATTCAAGACAAAAATCTCTTTTGTTGATCTTGTATTGCTGATCGTTTATTCATTTATTTCTCTATCTTCTTTAGTAAGTAGGGGTGAAATTACATGGAAAAACTATTTGGAGTATGAATTTTTAGGGAAAGTAGTGATTTGGTCCAGTTTGAAAAGGTCATACTGAATTATAGACCCCTTTACTGGCTTTTGCATGAAATTGTCCTTATATTGAGTTACAGCCTATAGACTTTTCTATAATTTGTCCCCATAGTAGTTCACTACACTTTAAAGATCTTTTTATGGATAGAGCAGGTGCAAATTTTCAAAATGCATTTTCTGTCTAAAAGAAATGCACTACGAAATAACTGTTTTCTCGGACCAGTGTTTGGTATATGTCTATCTTGTTTTACTAACGTCATTCTGCCGGGCTGTTCAATAAAGTTTTCATTTGGTCTCTGGCGGAGAGTTGTCTCATTGGCAATCATACCACATCTTCTTTTTGTATATCCTCAGCTGTGGTGAATGTCATATGAATGAATTCCATGCAAATTGTAAGTAGTTTTTACTGACACAGCCCAATGCATAAACCTGAACAAAAGAGAGTAAAAATGAGGTTGACACATAATAATCTATGTAAGACTTCTTAAGAAGAATACGTACACCAAATTTTTGACTTGTCTTGCATACAGATATTAAGACACAACAGAAAAATAAACGATTACTGGATCAGGAAAATGAGGTCAAGGTCATATGATCTGACCATTATATACATATAATAACAAATTCACAAATATTCTAGGCCCATCAAGCATGATATCTGAAGTATAAACCTAAACTTGAAAAAAGGTTATTATTAACAACTTTAATAAAATGCTCCGCAGGGCGCAGCTTGATACGACCGCAGAGGTCGAACCCTGAACAGTTGGGGCAAGTATGGACACAACATTCAAGCTTGATACAGCTTTGCATTTGGATTGTGATTAAATATTTGACACAGCATAGGTTTCTGACACAGAATGAATGTGGTCTAAGAACTTCAAAATTTTAAATTGGACATTCACCTATTATGGTCCAATATCCAAAATCTAAATACATGGTTAGATTCAGCATATCAAAGAACCCCAAGAATTCAATTTTTGATGAAATCAAACAAAGTTTAATTTTGGACCCTTTTGACCTCAATGTGGACAAAGTTGAAAACGCGGCCCAAAAATCAAAAATCTAAATACATGGTTAGATTCAGCATATCAAAGAACCCCATATATTCAATTTTTGTTGAAATCAAACAAAGTTTAATTTTGGACCCCAATTTGGACCAACTTGAAAACTGGGCCCATAATAAAAAATCTAAATACATGTTTAGATTCAGCATATCAAAGAACCCTAAGAATTCAATTTTTGTTAAAATCAAACTAATTTAATTTTGGACCCTTTGGACCTTAATGTAGACCAATTTGAAAACGGAACCAAAAATTAAGAATCTAAATACATGGTTAGATTCGGCATATCAAAGAACCCCAATAATTCAATTTTTGATGAATTCAAACAAAGTTTAATTTTGGACCCTTTGGACCTCAATTTGGACCAATTTAAAAACGGGGCCCAAAATCCAAAAACTAAATACACGGTTAGATTCAGCATATTAAAGAAACCCAAGAATTCAAGAATAAAACCCCATTGAAATTGGTCAAGAAATAAGCAATTTATACGAAGTATCTTCTTTTGTACAATACTGTGCAATTAAATATTTCTTGCTATTGCGCAATACTGTACAATTGACAATTTCTTGCTATTGCGCAATATTGTGCTATTGGATATTTCTTGCTATTGCGCAATACTGTGCAATTGAAGATTTCTTGCTATTGCGCAATACTGTGCAATTGAAGATTTCTTGCTATTGTGCAATACTGCACAATTGAAAATTTCTTGCTATTGCACAATACTTATTATATAATAATTTACACATCCTGTTTGGTGTGTATCTCCTACCATATCATTATTATTTGCTTTTAAATATAAATCAGAAATAACCAACTTAAAATGGAAAATTTTAAAAGAAAAAAAAAATGAAAAAAAAAAAAATCCCCCCCCCACAAATATTTTGAACCCCCTTATGATTCATCACCCCCAAACTCAATCCAAGCCTTCCCTTTGTGGAATGGTACCTTGCAGTACAATTTCAGAGAGATCCATACACTTGAACACAAGTTATTGTCTGGAAACTAGAAAAATGTGTTTTTTGGCCCCTTTTTGGCCCCAAATTCCTAAACGTTTAGGGCAATTACCCCCAAACTCAAACCCAGCTTTCCCTTTGTGATATGGAACCTTGTAGTACAATTTCAGAAAGATCCATACACTTACACACAAGTTATTGTCCTGAAACTAGAAAAATGCTTGTTTTTTGCCCCTTTTTGGCCCCTAATTCCTAAAATATTGAGGCAATTACCCCCATCATCAATCCCAGCCTTCCCTTTGTGGTATGGTACCTCGCAGTACAATTTCAGAGAGATCCATACACTTGAACACAAGTTATTGTCTGGAAACTAGAAAAATGCTTATTTTTGGCCCCTTTTTGGCCCCCAATTCCTAAACGTTTCGGCAATTACCCCCAAACTCAATTCCAGCTTTCCCTTTGTGATATGGAACCTTGTAGTACAATTTCAGAAAGATCCATACACTTACACACAAGTTATTGTTTTGAAACTAGAAAAATGCTTGTTTTTTGCCCCTTTTTTGGCCCCTAATTCCTAAAATTTTGAGGCAATTACCCCCAAAATCAATCCCAGCATTCCTTTTGTGATATGGAACCTTGTGGTACAATGTCAGAGAGATCCATACACTAACACACAAGTTATGTCTGGAAGTTACAAAAATGCTTATTTTTGGCCCCTTTTTGGCCCCTAATTCCTTTACTGTTGGTACCATAACCCCCAAAAACAATCCCAACCTTCCTTTTGTGGTATTGAACCTTGTGGTAAAATTTCATAGAGATCCATTCACTTAAACTAAAGTTAGAGTGCAAAAACCAATGTGTCTTCGGACGACGCCGGACGACGACGACGCCAACGTCATACCAATATACGACCACAAAAATTTTTTTGCGGTCGTATAATAAAAAGTTAAGGTTAATCTTAGTAAAAGTAGGAATAAGATAAATAGAAATTTGGACAGTTTATCTTCCCTATAGCTAAACTTACTTCATCTTTGATTGAACAAATTTTGATGTCTTAAACATGCCAGTTTTTATCCACAAATTGATTGTATTTTCATCCAATGAAAAATATTAATTTTTTTCAGGATGTGATACCAGTTTTCAACAGGGTTTAATTCTGTTTACCAGTCATTTAGTAGGTAATCACAATGACAAGTTTCATTCTGTCATTATCAACAATCAACAAGACATGGATCACTGTCCCAGGTTAGGGGAGGTTAAGCTCTCACAAACATGTTAAACCCGCCACATATTTTATGTGCCTGTCGCTGTTTCATGTCGGTCATATATAAATAGTTTGTTTTTTGAAAATTGTTTTGTATATATTAGGCCTTTTGCTTTCTTGTTTGAAATGTTTCATATTTTTTAATATTTGGGCCTTTTATAGCAGACTATACAGTATGGGTTTTTCTCATTTTTGAAGGCAGTACGAAGACCTATAACTGCTTACTACCACTTCATTTTAACTCTGGTGGACAGTTGTCTCTTTGGCAATCATACCACATCTCCTTTTTTATAAGACAATCACCTCAGACTATATTCAAAGAAATTTTTTAGAGTTCTTAGCCATTTTTGCTTATTTGCAATTCAGACTTTAACCTCGACTGTCTAATATCTACAAGGAGTTATTAAAATTAGTATATATTACAATATACAAATTATAAACAATATTATTATGATTTTATTTGTCAAAGTGTAAACCTGATTTTTATAACAATATCTGCCTTAAAAATGAAAAAAAAAAACATGAACTGTATGACTTAGCAATTCTAAAACCTGAAACAGTCTAAGTGTAGCATGTAATCATTATGGTCTAGGCTAAACTATAAATTATAAACAATGATCACCACAGACTATTTAAAGGGGTGCTCCTCCACAGGGATCACCACAGACTATTTAAGGGCAGTGCTCCTCCACCCTTTTATTTTTAGCACCACCCTTAGAATTCAAGCATTCCTCTTTATTTTTTCAGAACCAACCTTAAGTTTTGAGATCATATGAGAAAACTTTGAAAAATAATCTCTTCATCAATCTAAAACAACTGACTACAGATATATTTTTCATTTTGTTCATGAAATGAAGATACATACTCTCAGATGAATGTGCATATATTAGAAATTGCAAAAAGATATAAAAATTATAACTATTTTTCAAAAGTTGCAAGGATTATTTCATAAGCTCTATCCCTCCTTGAAAATTGATCTGTGGTGATCCCTGTACAATTCAATTTACAACATACTGTAGAATATGTTTTGCATAACAGTACAATAAGATTACAATAATAGTTGCCTTATAGCTTATTCTACTAACATTAAGTCAAGCAACTATCATTATCAGAAACAAAATATATATTTTACTTGTAGCATGTATACTAAAATATAAACACAAGAGCATCAAATACTATTACATAAAAGGAAGATATCTTAATGCTAATCCCATTTATTGGTAAAGATCTTGAAACCTTAAATTTGAATATCCAAGAAAATACAATTGAAACTTAACCAATTAACACATAGAGATATATCAAGAAGGAACAAACATGCAGAGCAAAATCCGAAAGAATTTCAATTCACTGTGACCAATAAAAATGTAACCTGTATTACTTTAAGAAAGATATTGTGAAAAAAAACAAACGGAAATAATGGTTTCAAACTTACACTTGAGAGAACATCAAAAGAATGTATGTTTAAATTGGTTAACTTTCCCCTTACCTTACATAGAGAAACATCTAAATATTTATAGAACAGTTTTTACTTCCTGGTTATAAGCATTTCATGATTTATCTGTAAGATTAATAGCTAATCTTTTAAATGTGTTTAAATTAAATAATAAATAAAAAAACATGAGTTCTTTGATGATTTTCATCCACTAGCTGCCATATATCTCACTAAATATACCAAACTTACGTTTATAACCCTTTTCATAAATAACATATTTGGGACTTGTCAGTTTGACCCCAAAAGTTCATCCAATTCACTCAATGACATTTTAAACTTTAACCAATGCCAGAAATTTCTATTTTAACATAAGATAAAAACAATTTGTTTTTTATGAAGGTAGGCAAAGGTGCAACTTAAGTATTCATTTACCACCTTACATGCTTAATTTTGGCTTATTTTTATTTATTAAAGTCATAAAAAAAAATATCACCACTGCCAATCATATTAGTATCTCACCTTAAGTGGGTTTACATTAATAATAATAACTACAAATAAAAAACTATTGAGACTATTTTTAATGTACAATGTACCAAAGTAAAATGAAGTTTCCTACATGGATGAAGATGTCAGAAAAGCTGTGCTAACTGAAGAGACTACAGTATTTTGGTGTTGGATTAAATTGTAGGAAAACCAAATTGACATAACATTGCTAAAGAACAATATGTCATTTTTCTTTTTGCATCTTCTATTAGTAAAAACTAAAAAATAAAGGGAGATAAACTGTAAAAGCATCTCTATTAATATGATGATCTAAAGAATAAGAATTATATAGAATAAAATATTCTCTGTGTTTGGTCAAGGATTTGTAAAGTCTCACTATACAAATTCTTGGTTTGGTCATATAAAACCACCCCATTAAAATACATTATTTGTTTATGGGATATGATTTCTGAGATGACCATATATGACCTAAATTTTGGCTAACTGCTGTGTAATAACCTTTAAATATCTACTGTCATGCCTTTAATATCTTACTTACAATTAATGTACTAAATTTGTTTTTATATATCAATCGATTAATTGGTTGTATTTAATACTTCATTTTTTAAACCATCATTTTTCTTAACAAGTTCAGAGTAAAGCGGAAATATAGCCATTGATTTTGCCAAAATAAAACTTCTGCAAATATTTTATATTGTGCAGCAACCCCGTAATGAAGAACAGATACCATCTTTAGTTTATTTATCATGAATTATGTCTTTCATATTATGACTGTGTATGCGTGATATATAAAAGCTTATTGATATACTTTTTTTATTTCCCTCAAGGAAGAGACATAAAAACAATATGTTCTTAACTCCAAAGAAGTATAAAAATTAAAAAAATTAAAAACTTCTGCAAAACGGTAAAAAAAGTTGGAACAAAGGGAAAAAACATGGTATATATATCTGACTTCATAGAGACATTTTCCATACGAAACTGACACATCTACAAACTGTGTAACTTATTACTAATTAATAAATTTAAAATGTAAACATATAAGAAAGAGTTAACATCACATTTGAGTAATATCAGCCCTCAGTCTCTATATTAGAAGAGCATATGATCTTGATCTGACTGCATGACTGTCTACTATGAAATAAATTTCCATAATTTTGTGAATAGTCAAAACAATGAATATCATTCCCATTGAATCCTTTTAAATGAAAACCATGTGTTTAAAAAGTAACAAACCAGTTTTTTTTCCATATCTAACAAAAGTTGAAATCAACAAAAAACATGTAATATATTTTTTTCGAACTGAACATAATATAATGCAATAAATTCTGTCTTACATTTTCCTGATAATTTATATCAATACAGCAGTGTAGTTAGTTTTTGAACTCAACTTTCATGAGGGTAACTAATGACCTGTGTAAACAACAACACTTGAAAATAGAAAATTTGACTCTACCAAGATGGTACATCAAGGTCTAATAAACATTTTATTTTGTACTTTTCCTTTCGTACAGTTTACTGTCACTGGTGCAAGGTATAAAAATTTATCTCAAGACAGAAAGTAAACAAAAAATAAATAAAACATGCAGGTTATATAAAACTGAATAAGAGCTCATTTACATAATATGAATAATGACCGATGATCAATCAAGACCTTCATATAGTGAAAATTATGTAAAAGAAAATTTAAAGTGAAAATATATTTCAGACAAAATGGACTGAAAGTTATTTGATTAATGTCCATTGGTAAATATTTCAGGTATATTTTGGATGAATTTTAGACTAGTTAGATAGTTCAGTTTAAATATATGTGTTACTAAATATTAATCCTAATCAACATTGAACTTACAAGAAGTAAATGTTTTATTATATACCAATTTTTCTTCTTATGGTGGTTTCCCTATGAAAAGGTGGTGAGTGACCTACTTTCTTAAAGATGGTTCTATATCATATTGATTTATTGTTAACAAATAGGTAAAACTATTTTTAAATGTATGAAGGACTCCTTCCTTCCATTATCAGAATTGCTAAGTTCATTGATATGGCCTTTAGCTCATTCTTATAGCATACAATCGTTCATGGTATGCTTGTCTTTTACAAATTTTAAATGAAATCCATTAAAAATCCAAAAGTTAAAAGGATTAGCACTTAACAGGTAGAATGACAGATAGACTGACAAAGTGATTGCTATTAACATGAATAAGGAAAGATAACTAAACAACTGGCTTTAGGTATGAACACATTTTTGAAATGATCTTATACAGATTAAATGTTTCTTTTAAACACATGTAACAGAAATGTCAAAAAGTATGAAGCCGTGGCCAGGGTCAAGTAAACAGTAAAACAAGCAAATTTTACTACTTACTTCTACTACCATATCTCAGTAGTCAGATTATTAAAAAATGGGTTTGTTCCATAATAAATTATATATTAAATTTATGGCTTTAATCTTACAAAAACAGAGAAAAATAAAATCAGATTACCTTACTTATTTAAATATATTTATGAAAGTTCCCAACTTTCAAAACCATATTCTAGAATAAATTGTTCATACCAAAGTACACTATGCCTTTTAAATTAAAAAATCTACAACTAAAACTGTCAAAAGCAATCTTAATATGAGCACCAGTGAATCTATATATAAAACATCTTTTTGAGATTTCTTGTAATAAAAGAAAAATATTTAATATTATCTATGATAAAAATACATGCTCGCAAAGCAGACAAAACTCTCGTTTGTCAGAGTATAAAACTGTAAGTTCTACCGTTGAGGTTAGTCAGACTATTTAGTACCAAAATATTAACCCCTGATATACCATACTATTATCCCTTGTCAGGACCTAGGTTTTTAAAATAAAATGTGTAAATAAGAAAGCCACCAATTAGAAGAGTAAGTCCAGTCAGTCCTATAGCTACAGGTTTTAAATATGATTTTCTCTTTTTTGAAAGTTCACTGTCCCGTAATTTATCTTTCATTTTTCTGACTTGTTCTTCTGTTTTCTTCTTTCTATCTTCTCTATTTCTTCTCCTGAGTTGACTTTCACTACAATTTAAAAAAAAGCTATTTAGAGAATATCAAATAAGTCCAATTAAAAGTCACTCTATCTTAGATATGAATCAAATAAAATGTATGGGGATCCAATATATCCAAAATGACCATCTGGAGGTCACTGAATGCTCTTATATTTTATAATATATTTACCCAATAAAATCATATTCATAAAGTAAAAGAAGGCCATAATAGTGTCAAGAAATGATTAGTCGTCAAACATTCACACTTCAATCCTTATATGGATAACCAACATAAAGAGATGAAAACAACCACAATGACGGCCTAATGACATGAAAAAAGTACAGAACCTGGATGAAAAACAAGACAATATCTTAACTCCCTTCAAATCTCTGTTGTGCCGGGTGTGAAAAGCTCCTCCCTTTAATCTTGTCAATCATAAAATTTTTTGAATTTCCATGTAATTTTTGTAATCTTTATTAATTCATACTAGATAATTTCAAGGGACACAATTTCTGATTGTCAAAACTATATAGATTTTATCATATTTATTGTCCATATAGTATAACAATATATTGTAACTCATAAGATCAAAGGTGCCAAATATGACCCACAAGTGAAGTATAATACTTGACATATATGACCAACAACTATCTATATGAAGTAAATAAGATGTGGGGTATATATAAGACCATGGATGAAATAACCAAACAACACAAAAACCAAAACACATCTATAGATTAGATTTTTTTTTCATGAATTTAAATTGAGAATCAGTCTCACCATAAAATTATTAATTAACATGTTTATGTTTGAGAAAAAAAACATCTTGCAGCCAAATATCATAATAGGCAAGCATCTAATGTTTTAACAAGTAGGTGTCAGATACAAAGTATTTTTTTTATTATTGATTCTGAACTAACTAATGATGACTTATGATCATCCAAAAGTTGGTTCCTGATTAATTTATTTTTAGTTCTGAGGGTCTTAAAAGCTTCCCTTTCCTTTACAATTTTTGTGGGAGGTTGTTTGCCCATTCAAACACATACTAATACACATAAAACAAGTCCAAAGATGGTGCATCCAACACATGATCTTTGAACAGCACACTGACAAGAAAGCAAAACAATTTAAACCTGTAGGACCTGAGCTCAACACAAATTCATGATATCATATGGAAAATACTATTTTACTATTTTGAGACAGGGTAAGGGGCATAACTCTGGATGTTAAAAGAAACAACAGTGACATTTTAACTTAAACTGCAATTCATAGTACATAGGAACATTACATTAAAGAACAGCATGTAAATGTAACAGGAGGGATTGTGTCTGATATTCATATGATGAAGACATAATCTTTCAATCAGTTTAATTGAGGTCTGGAGCTGGCATGTCAGTAACTGCTAGTAGTCTGTTGTTATTTATGTATTATTGTCATTTTGTTTATTTTCTTTTGTTTCCTATTCTGACATCGGACTCGGACTTCTCTTAAACTGAATTTTACTGTGTGTACTGTTGTACGTTTGTTTTTTCTACATTGGCTAGAGGTATAGGGGGAGGGTTGAGATCTCAAAAAACATGTTTAACCCCGCCGCATTTTTGCGCCTGTCCTAAGTCAGGAGCCTCTAGCCTTTGTTAGTCTTGTATCATTTTTAATTTTAGTTTCTTGTGTATAATTTGGAGTTTAGTATGACGTCCATTATCACTGAACTAGTATACATATTTGTTTAGGGGCAAGCTGAAGGACGCCTCCGGGTGCGGGAGTTTCTCGCTGCATTGAAGACCCATTGGTGGCCTTCGGCTGTTGTCTGCTCTATGGTCGGGTTGTTATCTCTTTGACACATTCCCCATTTCCATTCTCAATTTTATTACATGATATATATAAGTGACTGACATATAAGATAATAAAGTGAACACAGAAAAAGCATAACTTAGTATAAAAAAATTGACACATTTATGTTTCAATTTTTAGACTTAATGCAAGATTTCCTAGAATCAATGCAGTTTAGAAGTAGCAGTTTGTAGAAAGTTATTTAAGGTGGTACATAACACTACAGGGAGATAACTCTGTAAAAATCAGCTGAACATTTTAATCACGTTCTATTGTTAAGGAAATATTAAGCTTCTCAATGATCAAAATTAGTGTTTGTCAAACTGCTATATATCCAATGAAATTTTTCCGATAAAGTGTGTGGTTCAAGTTTTTTGAAACTTATATATTTTTGTCAAAGGGTCAAAGTAAATATTTTGTCAAAATTTTATGAAAATTAAACGAGCCAAATTAATTTTAGTCAAGGTGTTTGGTACCACCTTAAACACAATCAAACACCCATAAACCATTTAGTCATACAGAAAACCATGAAATTGGTGTCACAAATAAAAAAGTGATTTCACAGTATTATTTATAGGTACAAAAATAAAACCAATTATGAGGAAATTTTTTCATTTTGCTTTTTTTTGGTTATGGAGTCACTTTTCCTGAATTTTGTTGTGTAAATGATGTTTAGAACATACCTGGTACCACTGACTGACTCTTTGGAGTTCAAACCTTCCATATTATCCACCGTATTTGGGAAACCAGTTCTAGGAGGAAGCGGTGGGGGTTCATTTCTATGTGGCAAACTTTCCACCCTAGTCGGTGGTTTAGGAGGGGCTTCATCAGATGATGACTTCTGCAAGATAATATATATAACTTTTCATATTTGGTTTAATTTACATTTTTTCTCATATTTGTTTTTAAATTTACAACTTTCTTATATATGTTTTCATATTTACAATTTTCTCATATTTGTTAAAATTGGCATTTTTTCTCATATTTGTTGTAATGGACAATTTTTTTCATATTTTTCAAAACACAGATCATACTATTTCTTTTGTGATTATCAAGTTCCTTTTTTAAAATTAACTTCCTATAGTAATATATGCCTTTTTAAATAATCTTTCTTTTTATGCTTCTGTTAGAGTTCAAGATAATTTTTCAGTTATTTCTCATAAATTTTAATAAGATCAAAATGTATATTGCCTATATTTTAACATACAATATTTTTTTTAGTTCTACAGGTAATCTGACAACATTTTTCTACAATTTACTGTATAATTTCTCTTTTTCTTTAAAGAACTTATTATAATTCATTCTGATATCATAAAAAAAGACAAGTATTCATCTTATTTTAAGATGTACTTCTGAACTTTAAATCAAATCTGTTAAGATATCATGCATGAGAATTGTTTAAGCAGTATTTGAATACAGATTCTATTAAAATACCTTAGTAATTACAATATTTATTCACTTTTTAGATTTAAAAATCAATGGGGAATAATTTTATTCTTTGGTCATACAGAGGTGTGTTGTTCATGCAAGGATTCAAACTGTAACATGTACCTTTATTATTTTATCAATACATAAATAATTTGAAAAATATTATCTGATCATACAGAGTTTGAAGTGTATTTTTTTTTTAATTAAACCTTCATTAGTATTGCTAAGGCTCAAATGTTTAGAAGATGTTTAAAAACTTGGGAAGCAGTATAATCAATTAGTGCCTGCATAAATATCAATAAAAACGATAAAAAAAGCATGTAAACTTCCTTGAAGAGATGTTCATTTACTGTAACTCATTGTTATAAAATTTGATATTTGTTGTAAACCATAGATATGCAGATTCTCTTGTAAGCTACAAAAGTAAGTGAATTATTGTATCTTTAATGCACTAACAAAAAATAATAATTAGGAAAGAATTCAGGAATGACTACTCTGAAATTTTCCAGTCTTCAAGGAACTAAACATTGTGTAAAATTTGGTAAGGAGTTGCTAAAGCATATGTGAGTTATGACAAGACTTACTCAGACAGAGGGATAGATGGACAGATGGCCAGTGAAATACCATAATACATCTGTCTTCAACAGGCTTATGAAAACTTCTTTCCCTTACATCTGAATAGGAGAATTAGCATAGACAGTTTTTCTAAAATTTAATTAAATAGATTAAGTGATTGATAATCAAATTAAAAAGTTTGTTTCCAATCTTACCTCTTCTTCTTCTAGGTAACTTGACAGAACATCCATTGTTGATATCTGTTCTTTATTCAATAATCTTCTCCCTCCTTCAATTATGGCAAGATAAGAAAATCGTAACTGATCAGCCGTCTGTATCAGACCCATTCTATAATATCTCATGTCTAAAACCATCTTACGTATATCTATACCATTCATATGTTCTTGATTTTCAATCTGAAAACATAAAAAAAATCAGATATGATAGGCATATATTTTTAAGTCATCTATACCACTAATATGTATGTTTAACCCCTCCACAATCTTTATGTGCTTGTTCAAAAACAGGAGCATGTAGTTCGGTGGGTGCTTTTGGTTCATGTCCGTCATATTTGTTCTTCATGAATTGTTTTGTTATAAATTATGCCATTAGTCTTCTTGTTTGATATGTTTCACATTTTTAATGTCAGGTCCTTTTATAGCTGACTATACAGCATGGGTTTTTCTCATTGTTGAAGGCTGCTCACTGATTTTTCAATCTTTTAAACAACAAAACAAGCATATCATGCATGCTGCATGTTTTATCCCCTCAGACAACAATTGAAGTCTTTAATATGTCAGTTAAGCTAGATTTTATCATTCAAATATCAAAGTTTGACTGTGGTTGAAAGGTCACAATCTATCACATTATTCCCCACTAGTTTTATTTATAGAAAATAAGTCATGCAGCTAGAGTTGTCAACATGTAACAGTTTCCAACAGAAAATTTAGAAAGTCATAGGAGATAATCCTAATGTAATTTCCAATTATGAATTAATATAAAATCATAGATGTCAACTCTCTGGATTTCAAGGTAAGACACTTTATGTATTTTCAAAATTATGAAATCTTCTACCCAATGTCCTTCTCTCATGCAAGAATTGAAATCTAAACACAATCTATATGATATCTATCATCGATATATCTATAGCTGCAAAATTTTATAAGTATCACACCATCAGTTCACTGACTTGCATTTTGAACATATGTAAAAGTAGTCCTACTCAATCATAAAAAAATAGTGTGTTTTATGTTGTTGTTTACTTTAACTTACAAATGAATTTAAATGATAGAAACTTTTTCTGAATGAGAAATATATTTTGACCATTTTTAGACTTAATCTACTTGTGAATGAACTTGCATGTCAATTTTAGGATGTGCTAAATAGTATGCTTATTTTATTAGTAGGGAACTTCTGGAGCATCATGTGTAACTACCAAGACTTTAAATATTGGTCGAAAATTGGCATGTAGAAAGTTGATGAATGTATAATTCAGGATATTCATATCACAAGTCGCTGGACCATGACATAGGGGGCATGGCATTGAAATAGTCATCAAACTGATATGTACTGATAGTAATGCAACTTTATAGAAAATATCATTGATCTATCACAAGTAGTTCCCATCAAACTGACTTACGAGTTACGCCCTTTTCAACTGATTTTTATAGTTTTGTTCTTATGTTGTACTGTTACACCACTCTCCCAGGATAAGTTACCCCGCCACATTCTGTATATGCCTGTCCCAAGTCAGGAGCCTGTAATTCAGTGGTTGTCGTTTGTTGCTGTATATCATATTTGTTTTTCATTCATTATTTTGTACATAAACAAGGCCGTTATTTTCCTCTTTTGAATTGTTTTACATTTGTCATTTCAGGGCCTTTTATAGCTGACCATGCGGTATGGGTTTTACTCATTGTTGAAGGCTGTATGGTGAACTATAGTTGTTAATTTCCGTGTCAGTTGGTCTCTTGTGGAGAGGTGTCTCATTGGCAATCATACCACATCTTCTTATTTTTATAATTAAGCAGAAAACTTAATAATTGTTGATTATTAACTACACATATAATAACTTACAACAAGCCCAGTTTGATCAGTATATACTTACTATAACAAGTACAGAGTCGACCAAACAGAAAGTTCCAGATCTACCAATCCCAGCGCTACAGTGTACAACACATGGTCCTGAATCTGGCTCTAAACCACCAGATTCTCGTACTGCCATCAAAAAGTTCAGAAATGCTGTCGGTGAAGTAGGTACGCCAAAATCTGGCCATGTGACATAATTAAAATGTAAAATTTCTCTTGTTTCACTTGTCTAAAAATAGAGAAAACATACTATGACTAAGTATTAAAACATGAATGGATTATACAGCCTTTTTTATATAGTGGAGCAATTGGTTTATTTCTTTGTGAAATAATTCTAAACACTGAAAACAATAGTAAAAATTTTCTTGTAACAAAAGTCTCAATTTTCATCAGAATCAATGTAATTAAGAAATAACTTTTCTTCAAATTCAAATACTGAAAATAAATAACTCTAGACCTATCTACAACAATAATTCCTTCAACAATGAACACATTCATTCATTTATAGTGTTTGATCATTGATCTATTTCCCCATTAAACCTGCAAGTAATCATTCAATTAATCTGATACTTTACGAATTTTGTGGAGTTTATAATGTTTTAAAATGCATATTCCTGACAAAAAAAAAATCCACTTTCTTGCAGATGATGAAAATACTAATGTTCCGATTTTTAAGATAATAATAATATCTAGTAAGAAAGCGCTTTCCCAATCTCATCATAATAATCTACTTTTTCAAGGTATTGGAGACAATGAATTATCTGATTAAAACATAGAACCTCTGTCTACCCTAGACTTACAAGGATCTGCCAACACTCAGCTCTACTTTCTGTTCTCAAAATTATTAAGGTGTGTAACATTAAGACAAAACAAGAGGATCCAGAAAGGCCTTTAAACAAAAAGTCAGATCCTTGTAAGAGAAGTGTGGACACAAGATCTGTATTTTAATAAGTCTGGACAAAGACTTACTTAACTTTTGTTCTCATATCTTAATAAGATTTCCTTATTTTATAAAGTACATTTTGTGATTTTAGCATTAAAATGATTTTTTTAAGGGTAAAATTTGAGAAAAATGAGGATATTCCTGGGTTTTTTCGTGAATTAAAAATTGTACAAAATAAATACTATAAAAAACAAGAGTGCACACGCTGAAATGTCTCGCCTTCTTTACTAATCATTGATATTATGTTGATAGTTCTAAATATAAAGCTTTACTACAACTATCACATAAACTTAACATGATCCAAGAAAATGAGGTCAAGGTCATATAAACCAAACAAGAAATACATGTACACCTTACAATCATTTAATACACTAAATATAGTTGACCTATTGCTTATAGTTTCTAAGATACAGACTTAACCAAGAAAACTAAACATTGACTAATGAACCATGAAAATGAGGTCAAGGTCAGATGAATCATGCCAGGCAGACATGTACAGCTTGCAATCCTTCCATACAACAAATATAGTTGACATATTGCTTATAGTAATAGAAAAATGGACCAAAAACTCAAAAAATTATCATTGACCACTGAACCATGAACATGAGGTCAAGGTCAGAAGACACCTGCCAGCTAGACATGTACACCTTATAATCATTCCATACACCAAATATAGTAGACCTATTGCATAGAGTATAAGAAAAACAGACCAAAACACAAAAACTTAACTATAACCACTGAACCATGAAAATGAGGTCAAGGTCAGATGACACCTGCCAGTTGGACATGTACACCTTACAGTCCTTCTATACACCGAATATGCTAGACCTGTTGCTTCTAGTATCTGAGATATGGACTTGACCCCCAAAACTTAACCTTGTTCACTGATCCATGAAATGAGGTCGAGGTCAAGTGAAAACTGTCTGACAGGCATGAGGACCTTGCAAGGCATGCACATACCAAATATAGTTATCCTAATATTACTCATTATAAGAGAGAAATTAACATTACAAAAAATCTTAATTTTTTTTTCAAGTAGTCACTGAACCATGAGAATGAGGTCATGGACAATGGACATGTGACAGACGAAAACTTCGTAACATAAGGCATCTATATACAAAGTATGAAGCATCCAGGTCTTCCACCTTCTAAAATACAAAGCTTTTAAGAAGTTAGCTGACGCCGCCACCGCCGCCGGATCACTACCCCTATGTCGAGCTTTCTGCGACAAAAGTCGCAGGCTCGACAAAAAACTACATCATTTAATGTGGATTGTGGATTTACTATGATTATAACTAAGTTAAACCAACACAACAAAGATGTGGAGTTCTTTGCAGAGGTTATAATATTTTAGTTCCATCTGTCCGTCTATTTATCATTTCTTAGTTGTTGCCAAGAGAGCACCTTCATTTTTTGTTGGAATCTCTTCAAATTCTGATGAAGGTTTTTACTCATCAAACTGTGGATGAGTTCAATAATCAGAATAATCTGTAATGGGCGACCATTTTTTGGGAGAGGACCGTTTAAAAATATCCTATTTTAATTCTGGGTGCCAGGATTGAGCCTTCATTTTGTCAGATCATCTTCAAATTTGTATGAAGGTTTCTAATTGTTAAAATCTTGGATGAGTTTGATAATAAAAAAAATCTGAAATGGCGGACCATACACAGTAAACAAGACTTCAAAGGTCAACAAGGTTCTCAATCTTTTATGTCTGTCCTAATTTTCCTTCAATGTATTGTAATAACATTTCCTTTGTTTCAACTCTAGAGATCAAGAAGTAATATATCAATCTCAAAGATCAATATCTTCATATCAAAACAACAACATTTATGAATGTTAAAAGTCAACTACAAGACTACAAAATTTAATCATTTCAATTAGCTATGGTCAAACTCTATGTCCTTACCTGCATGTCTTCAATCTCTAAAGTCCTGACTATATAGTAGTTACATGATCTTTCCTCCAACAATGTTATCTTTAACTGAACATCTTCATAGACCATTTCTTCATCATCACCATAGTTTTCACCTAAAGGCCAGTACTGATGACATTTTCTCTGTAAAATTAGTATTAAAAGTTTGTTCATTACCTGTCAGATATCAATCTTAAATATAAATGCAGACTAAATACCTGTAAAGATTTAACTTTGCTTGTATAAATTTAACCTGACCATTCTAAATTAGGGCTATTTGTATTTATATAGTTAAAGTAGTCTATTTGATTACAAATACAAAATTATTTTTTTAATATTTTGTCAGTATTCTATAAATATATAAATGTACCTGCAAGTTAGAAAAAAATTAGAAGTTACAACTGAACATAATTCCATTTAAACATATGTCACATACCCAGGGAAGGTTGAAAATGGATTCAGATTCCTATTACTTTGCTCAATATTTAATTTGTAAGACATTCATGACTATTTTGGTAGACTTGTAAATTGTTTACTTTGTTGGGCAGCTGTCTCACTGAAAATACCCCAATTGCCTTCCTCCTTTACCGAGACTGAATAATCATTTCCTGTCATTTTGCTCAAGATAAATTGGAATTTTATCTAATATGCATGACTTATTGTTCAAATTTCAACCAAACAGAGACTGTAAATGGTGGCCATGGACCAAACTACATCAGCCTTACTTTACGATCATGATTTTAAGCTGTTTTCTGAAAGGATATTTGGTAAAGCAAAGAGCCCCAGTGTTCTCCCCAGGATTTTTGCATAGCACCAGGGTAACGCGTGTGGACTGCTTGGTGAAATGATTCATACAATCAGTTGTGTAGCGCCGTGTCGCGTTGCTTAGCTATATTTCTAGTAACTGTAGTTTTTATGTCTCCTGTTTTGTTTTAATGCTGTGGTACTGTGTTATGTAGACATTGAAAATTATTGGTAAAAGAGAGGTAAATCAATAAACAGTTTGACATGTATACTTTAATATTTTTTAAAAATAAATAAAACATGATACATTACAAAATATTCATCTAAATTTAAAGTTATTAAATCTTTTATAAAATCAATGATCAATAAGAATAAAATATCATTCAAAAGAGAACAAAAATGTTAATTTAAAAAACTTTCTTATTTCTAGAATGAAAGATGTTGTATTGTGAAAGGATTCCTGTCATAAGGAGATACAAAATTAACAAGAATAAATATTGTATTATTATTTGAACCAGTTTCTATCTTAAATTTTAAGAAAAAGAAATTTTTCATAAATTTCAAAACATTTTGCCTTAGATTTCATGTAAATATTAACTTTTCTTGTCTTTAGTGATAATCAAACATAGATTAATACTGCACTGAAATCTAAATCTTTTTGTCATGATCCATTTAAAAAGAATTCCTAAATCTATAAATTTATCCTAGTTCTATAGATCTATAAGTAACCCTATTCAATGTCAACAACTAAGTCTCCCTATTTTCCCGCCTAAATGACAGGAAGTAGATATAAATAGATTTAACATGTGCTTATGGATAAAATTTGCAAATCACTTCTGTTATTCATTAATTATCATACATGTCATATGGATATAGATATCCAGTTTGAAGGTACAGTCATGCATTTTATTTATAAAATAGAATAGATTGCAGTTAATTGTAAATAATCTTGGGTATTCTATGTGAACTAACTTGGTCATGTGATCCGTCCTCTTTGAATTACTTGTTGACAGATACTATGATAGTTTGAAACCGGAATATCATGCAATATAAACTATGTCAAAATTAAAGATAATTTGGCCATGGTTTAATCAGAGACATATAATACTATTATATAAGTATTGAGAAGTGTATAATGGTCAATTATACGTAATGAGCTAACTTTATAATGTACAAAATGTGTACCGTCGTGTGTACAACTATCGGGTCAACACGGTTTGTGTACAAAGTATTTGCCGACTTGTCAGGTGGTAAGTGAAGCCATAAAATAGTTATCTACGATCATAAAGTTATGATCTCTTAATTAAAACACAAAAGAATCATTGTACAAGTGTTAATTACATCGATTAAATCCAATCAACAAAAAAAGGTTAACCTCATAAAGGTAAATCGATCACGTGGTGTAAACAATCTGAACTGGTTTGAACTGGTCAAATTTCACCTGGAATTTTATACCGCACGGAAAAGATTTAACAAGTCGTTTAAAACTTTATCGATTTTCGATTTTTTAACTAAAAATTTAAGCACCACGGAGAAATATAATACATCGCGGTAAGAACGATACCACCACGGTAAAAAAATATACATCGCGGGCCCGCGGTCCTTTAAGGCCCTGGGGAGAACACTGAGCCCTTCAATAAACCAGACAATATGTAACAGGGTTGTGGTTAAAACTTACAGATCCACTTTCTATGACTTTGTTGAGCATTACTACAGCTTTACTTTTCTGTTCCCAAACCATCTGCCAGAAATGCCCTGATGTGTGCTCCAATGGACCCTGAAAATATAAAACAATTATGAGGTCCAGACCATCTGCAAGATATATCTTGTGTACTGTAATGGACCATGAAAATATACAGCATTTACAAGGTCCAGACCATCTGCAAGAAATGTCGTGTATACTGAAATGGAACTAGAAAATACATGCAATAGGATCTTCAGGATGGATTCCAAGTATACATACATTCATAAGCGTATTGAAAGATGGTAAGTGAGACACAGGGCTTTAGGAACATGGATAAATGTACTGAATCATACTTTTATACTTGAAAGATGGCAGCATACAATTTTTCTTGGCTTACATTAAGTATTAAATGGATAAAGTCATACATATTACCTGAGCAAGTATATAATTTCTATTAGCTTCAGGAACAGGTAAGTAGCAGGCATTGATATAATCGTCCTCCCCCTTCTGTAACTTGACTCTGCTGTGGTCATCTAAAATACATAAAAGTACTATATCATTACACAGAATACAGTATATACATGTAGACAACAAAATTGTATAATATATAATTATACAATATATTGTCTTAGTTTAACTTGTATGATATTTTGATACAGGCAGAATACACGACTTTTGAAATATACCACTCTTGACCCCTTGCAAAATATTCTCTTTTGGTCTGTGACAAATGTTTTCTGTTTTTTTTTGTAAATTTTTTACACACAACCCAGGGTTAAGTTTTTACTGTGGACGGACATGTTAGCATCAAAAAATTTATAACAATAACCCAACTACACACTTAGACAGAATTATATCATCCTAACTGTCAAACTATTGTAGACGATAACCCAACTACACACTTAGACAGAATTATATCATCCTAACTGTCAAACTATTGTAGACGATAACCCAACTACACACTTAGACAGAATTATATCATCCTAACTGTCAAACTATTGTAGACGATAACCCAACTACACACTTAGACAGGATTATATCATCCTAACTGTCAAACTATTGTAGACGATAACCCAACTACACACTTAGACAGGATTATATCATCCTAACTGTCAAACTATTGTAGACGATAACCCAACTACACACTTAGACAGAATTATATCATCCTAACTGTCAAACTATTGTAGACGATAACCCAACTACACACTTAGACAGGATTATATCATCCTAACTGTCAAACTATTGTAGACGATAACCCAACTACACACTTAGACAGAATTATATCATCCTAACTGTCAAACTATTGTAGACGATAACCCAACTACACACTTAGACAGGATTATATCATCCTAACTGTCAAACTATTGTAGACGATAACCCAACTACACACTTAGACAGGATTATATCATCCTAACTGTCAAACTATTGTAGACGATAACCCAACTACACACTTAGACAGGATTATATCATCCTAACTGTCAAACTATTGTAGACGATAACCCAACTACACACTTAGACAGAATTATATCATCCTAACTGTCAAACTATTGTAGACGATAACCCAACTACACACTTAGACAGAATTATATCATCCTAACTGTCAAACTATTGTAGACGATAACCCAACTACACACTTAGACAGAATTATATCATCCTAACTGTCTAACTATTGTAGACGATAACCCAACTACACACTTAGACAGAATTATATCATCCTAACTGTCTAACTATTGTAGACGATAACCCAACTACACACTTAGACAGAATTATATCATCCTAACTGTCAAACTATTGTAGACGATAACCCAACTACACACTTAGACAGGATTATATCATCCTAACTGTCAAACTATTGTAGACGATAACCCAACTACACACTTAGACAGGATTATATCATCCTAACTGTCAAACTATTGTAGACGATAACCCAACTACACACTTAGACAGAATTATATCATCCTAACTGTCAAACTATTGTAGAAATCAGTCTAGAATCGATAAAAAAAGAACAAAGTTCTAAAATTGCGTACAACAGCTGACAACAGGATAAAAATGTACAAATATAACATAAAATTTGATTAGTTGAGTGACTGGAGTAAATAAAATGCCTATCAAATCTGAATCAGACCATGCTGATTGCCTGATATCACAGTCATCATTTTTCATTTGTTTTTTTCACAATACTAGAACTTTTCTTTTAGTTTCATTATTTCTTAAACAAACTTGTCAACTACATTGTATGTATATATATATATATACAAGTCTAAATTGAAAACAATGTTAAAACCTATGATTGCGTTGGATAAAAACCCAAATTTTTAAACGTGTGCATGCAAAACAACATTTTCTTGTTAGAGGGGTCTAAATGCAGCACAAACAACATTTTCCAAAAGACCAAAAAAGAGAAAAAGTATATTTTAACAAAACGCATTTGACTAACACGTCGAACAACAAATGTTCTTAAACCCTGCTGACTGCCATTGGCGATTGCCAAATAAAAGAATCACCGATGTAACAAATGGATCTTAATTATAAATTTAATACTAAACAGAAAACAATAAACTTGCGGAAAAGATGGTATGACGCAAACAAAAGGTGCAAAGGTTTTTGTACACCATATCCGGATTTCGACAATTAATGTCTCTTCAGTGATGTTAGGAATCGAAACGGTATTTGGAAAGCCATACAATTTACCTCAATTTAGGATAGACTCTTGAATTTTGAGGAGTCAAAATAGGATGAACGGATCATATAAACCAGAAGGCAAATATAATACAATTACAAGCCCAAACGAAAAAATATAAACAAGTATATATATATATATAAATATTCTTACATGCAACTTAAGTTTCAACAGTTGTATTCTTATTATCCAAGAAGGGCCAAAGTTTAATACATATATTGGGTAAAAAGTCAATATTTTAACATTTAACAAGCTAAGTATAGCTTTACACATAATACCAATAATCTGAGTAATAACTATTTATGTTGTTTAAAATAATTATGGGAGAAGGGAGACTATTCAATTCAGGATATCTGATTATAAAACTATACAATGTGTCAGTACTAAAACTCTAACATAAAAAACAGGGTTGTAACCTATACTTTGATAGGTTCCAGCCAGTTTTCTCATTTAGGAAGTTTTTAGGGTGAGTCCTGTACGTGACTCATAAATTTTAAAACAGTGATTCCCACAATGTGCATGTATGTGTTTCTTATATTAAAGACAGGCATGAAAATGTAATGACTTATTACATGGGTAAACATCTCTGTATCGGTTCCTGTTTTTATTGGTCGGTTGTTTTGCTTCCTTTGTGGACAGTTCTTCTTCAAAGGCTATCTCAGCAGCTTCCACTTTGATCTCCTGTAAAAATGGTTTGAGTATAATATTTAAGTAAAAGTAAGAGTCCATTCATTTAGAAATTTTACATTCATGTACATGTGTATGTATGAAATGTCTCAATGTTGGTATGAATTGACCATGTAATGAAATTACCTGAACAAGTCATGTTTATGCAGTCTAGCAAAGATATTCATAACAGAATATATTATTTGCTGCAGGCAAAGTTTGATTGCTTCAATAACATTTCTTGGAATTTCAACTGTCATCGCTCAATGATGATAATGGATGGCAGTTTAAATTCCAGTGGCAAATTAAATGCATGCCACTTCATTTGAACTTTGGTGGATAGTTATCTCATTGGCAATCATACCGGATCTCCTTATTTCTATGTTGCTACAAGACTAACATTCTGAACTGGATTTTAAAATGCCAGTTCATAAGATAACAATCCACCTGAAGAAAAGTCATCTTATCGAATCCATGACAAATCGCCCTACACCTAATCGCCCCACTTCCTAAAAAATCGCCCCACTCTTGTTTACCAACTCGCCCCACTTATGAAAAGGGTAAAATACATTGAAAATAGGTTGGATTACTTGCCCCACTCATGAAAAGGGTTCAAATCCCGCTGAAATAAGGTCTGCCAACTCGCCCCACTCATGACAAATAGATAAACCACGATGAATTTAGTAATGCCAACTCGCCCCACTTATGGAAAAAGATGCTATCCTGTTGTATATGTTCCTGCCACCTATAAATAAAATCAATACCTATGAAAACCTTAGATAAACATCTTTTGTAATTCTTTTCTTTTCTTTTTGTTTAAATAAAGCAGTAAGAAGTGAGTATCAGTATTTCGGTGACGTGTATGTCAACTCGCCCCACTTGTGAAAAATAGAAATATCCTGATGAATTGAGTTATGCCAACTCGCCCCACTTATGGAAAAAGATGCTATCCCGTTGTATATGTTCCTGCCACTTATAAATAAAATCAATACCTATGAAAACCTTAGATAAACATCTTTTGTAATTCTTTTCTTTTCTTTTTGTTTAAATAAAGCAGTAAGAAGTGAGTATCAGTATTTCGGTGACGTGAATGTCAACTCGCCCCACTTGTGAAAAATAGAAAAATCCTGATGAATTGAGTTATGCCAACTCGCCCCACTTATGAAAAATAGGAAAATCCTAATATTGAGTCATGCCAACTCTCTACACTTATGAAAAAGGAAGTAATACCGTTGAATTTATGTCTGCCAACGTACCCAACTGATAAATAAAAGTATGAATAGAATTAATGGCTACCAACTAGCCCAACTTATGAATAAAATGATTAAACTGTAATGAGTGTAGGCCTTCCAATTCGCCCCACTTATGAAAACGTTAGAAATGCATCTTTTTTTTTTGTTCTTTTCTTTTGGTTGAAATAAAATAGAAAGAAGGTAGATATCAGATGATAGGTTTGCACATCTACATAAGTATGCATAACAATAACATTTCAAACAAACATACATTAAATCAATTATGACAAGCACTGGCATGATAACATAATAAAATGCTCCGCTGGGGCGCAGCTTGATACGACCGCAGAGGTCAAACCCTGAACAGTTGGGGCAAGTATGGACACAACATTCAAGCTTGATACAGCACTGAATTTGGATTGTAATTAAATATTTGACACAGCATAGGTTTCTGACACAGAATGAAAGTGGTCTAAGAACTTATAATTTTTTGATTTACCTATTCATACATGTGATGGACTGTGAAACTCAGATCAGGAGATTGGGAAATTTTGGTCAGGAGATTAGGACTCAGATGAGGAGGTTTTTAATCGACATAAATTTTGTCGTAAATGTAACCGTGTGCTGTAAAAATGGTCTTTTAAAGTGTGTTTTCTTCAACTTTCCATCCAATTTATTATGTTTATAGTACCATTGTACTTATAAAGTTTCTCCATCTTTATATTTTACATGTTCAATCTAACATTTTTTTTTTTCAGTATGTTCTTTAAATTTTTTACTTCATATTCTATAAAACATTTATTGCAACCAGAACATTTGTTTAACTATCTGCAAATAGCTTTTGTTTGCATACTCAGAAAATCATTCTAACTGTAAAACAAGGGTCATAGTTATTATATAAATTTCAATTTAAGCCTTGAAAGGAAGTATAGAATCCTCAAATAATTTTCAAATTATTATTGTTTTATTTGTCCTAAGACATTTAAAATTATTTATTAATCATCCTTTTATGATTATTTGTTCAATTTATATTTTATTTATATTCTTTTAAAAATTTTCATTATTAAAAGGAAAGTAACTTAAAACAGGATAAATCAAGGGAAGTAACCCAATAAATACACAGTTTTTGTTACACAACGGCAGTTAGCCTGAGGTAAAAAATCATTGATTACCAGTATGTTTGACACCCAAGCTGACAAGTGAAGCCATATAATTATGCATGTTAATTGATTTACAGGTAAAATATAACTTCAGGTAATGTGAGTTACACCAGATGCCTGAGATGATATGTTGGGCAGAAATTTTTCATTCATGAAAAATTTCATACACGGGATTATAATTTTCCTCTTCAACCGGAGGTCAGGAGGAGACTCCTGAAAACAGGATTATTGTACACCTGTCGGGAGGTTCACATGTATGCTATTCAAACCATATCATTATTATTTGCTTTTATATATAAATCAGAAATAACCAATTTAAAATGGAAAATTTTAAAGAAAAAAAAGGAAAAAAAAATCCCCCCCCCAAATTTTTTGAACCCCCTTATGATTCATCGCCCCCACACTCAATCCCAGCTTTCCCTTTGTGGTATGGTACCTTGCAGTACAATTTTAGAGAGATCCATTCACTTGAACACAAGTTATTGTTTAGAAACTAGAAAAATGCTTGTTTTTTTGTCCCTTTTTGGCCCCTAATTCCTAAACTTTTAGGGCAATTACCCCCAAACTCCAACCCAGCTTTCCCTTTGTGATATGGAACCTTGCAGTACAATTTCATAAAGATCCATACACTTACAAACAAGTTATTGTCCTGAAACTAGAAAAATGCTTGTTTTTTGCCCCTTTTTGGCCCCTAATTCCCAAAATTTGGAGGAAATTACCCCCAAAAATCAATCCCAGTATTCCCTTTGTGATATGGAACCTTGTGATACAATGTCAGAGAGATCCATACACTTACACACAAGTTATTGTCATGAAACTAGAAAAATGCTTGTTTTTTGCCCCTTTTTGGCCCCTAATTCCTAAAATTTGGAGGCAATTACCCCCAAAATCAATCCCAGCATTCCCTTTGTGATATGGAACCTTGTGGTACAATGTCAGAGAGATCCATATACTTACACACAAGTTATGTCTGGAAGTTACAAAAATGCTTATTTTTGGCCCCTTTTTGGCCCCTAATTCCTTAACTGTTAGTACCATAACCCCCAAAATCAATCCCCACTTTCCTTTTGTCGTATTGAACCTTATGGTAAAATTTCATTGAGATCCATTGACTTAAACTAAAGTTAGAGTGCGAAAACTAATGTGTATTCGGAAGACGACGACGACGACGACGACGACGCCAACGTCATACCAATATACGACCACAAAAATTTTTTTGCGGTCGTATAAAAAGAAGTACTAGATGAAATATCAGCACTTGAAACAAGAACATGAATACATGAATACATTGTCATTAGAAATTTCAGTAGCTGTCTGCTTCCACGACTGGACCGTTGACACGACCACACTGGCGTAAGAGTCTGGTTGTAGATATGCTGCCTGCAATATACAATGTACTGCTCCCACATGTTTAATAGGATGGCTTGGTTAGTGCGGGCTTGCTTATTGTAAATGAATGAATGGGCATTCTCTTTGATATTTACTTGAAATTAACATTTGCCTTTCACTGATTGCTCGTTAGTGTTTAATTATTCTTAATTCAAAGACAAAAGTAACCAATCCGGTAAGTGCTATGATAACAAATTGCTGTTAATTGAAATCCTTTAATTGTTATGATATATCGCATTATGATACAATTAACAGGTTTCTTTTCAATTGTTATACAAATAACTAAGCTTACAAGAATAAAGTTATTCTCCAATAATACGAAAATTATATTTAGAATTATAATTTCAGAAAGTGAAACATCATTTAATTTCAATAATAATAATTAAATAAATTTTCGTTTTTTTGTATTCTGTGTAGATTAGTTTTCATTTAAGTTGGGTGAGTTGGCAGACATGAAAATTATATATTCATCTAGATATTACCGTTTTTCATTAAGTGGGGCGAGTTTGCAGGAGTAATATTAGCGCGATTTTTTAAAAGTGGGGAGAGTTGGTAAACCAGTTTGGGGCGATTTTTTTAAAAGTGGGGCGAGTTGGTGAAAAAGTGGGGCGATTGAGTGTGGGGCGATTTGCCAGTAAGGCGATTTGTCCTGCTTCCATCCTATCTACATGTAGTCGTAGACACATTACTCTCAGTTCGAGCTGACCAGTCTTTAATTTGCATTTACTCCTTAATGCTGTTTGCTTAGCAGATGAATGATACATGACTGCAAAGGATTTGTTTAGTAGATTACTATACAAACCATTGATGACATGTAAGATTATCGTAATGCAAACCATTCATGCTTTAAAAACAGATGTCAACACGTAGCATCGCAAGACGAGAAACGCGTCGACCCTTTTATGCTTTATTTGGTGATTCACACAAACCTGGTATATAGCAGGCCATATGCTAAATTTATCATACTGCTGTGATTCTTTTTCTATCTCAGATTCCATTGACAAAGCGTTACATTTACAATATTTTGGCTAACTTTGAAAATGTGAACGCACTTGTCCTTTTACTTCCGGAATTAAGAAGGTAAAACCCTGGCTCACATCGGTAAGGAGACGAAGATCCGTATTGAAGTAAAAATTGAACGACCAATTAGTTAATAACTATTTTGTCATAGTCTTGAAATAGGGTACAGTGTAAGAATAATGTTTTCATCTAATGATGCTGTCCTTTGGAGGAGGGAGGGAGTGTGTGTGTGTGGGGAGGGGGTAGGGGATCAGACTGAATGAAGCGGAAGGTTTATGTTATGTTCCGAGAAGAGCTTGCAGCTCTAAAACGTCACCAGTGTCTGACTAGAAAGTGATCGAAAGTTAATGAGCCAAGGTTATGTCAAAGAAAGTCTCGTCCTTTTTCTAAAAAAGTTCATTGGAAGATATCAAGATCTTGTTGATAAATATTCTGTATCAAGTTACTTCACAACTGATACTACTTGATGGTCTTTTAGTATAGATTTTAGGTACTGACGTTGTTTATCATCTTAATGACTTGTTATAGTGTTCTTTTTGTTTGTCCTTGTACATTTTTAACCTTAACCGTTTAGTAAATTTTTGGTAATATACTTTTGGCGTGGCTCGGTACTTACACATCCCGCCATTGTGTTATTGTGCTATGGTCAATTTTGTATTCTTAAGATTGTCTTTCATTTTTGCTTATAAAAAAAACTTTGTCTATAGAGTGTCTTTATGCCATTTTGTTTTTCTTTGTTGAAATAGTTATTTTTTTTATAGTGATTAAGATTATATTACAATTTTGACTGCTGTATCCCAATTTTTTACATGATATTTATCTAGTATTATGTCTGTTTGTTTTGCTCACACATTGCTGTCAATATAATGGAATTCTATGCGACTGTCATACAAGTGAGAGGTTTAACTAGCTATAAAACAAGGTGTAATCCACCATTTTCTACACCAGGGAATCCCTGTACAAAGTCAGGAATATGACAGTTGTTTTCCATTCGTTTGATGTTACGTGTTTGAGCTTTTAATTTTGCCATTTTATAAAGGACTTTCCGTTTTGAATTTCCCTTGGAGTTCGGTATTTTTGTGATTTTACCTTTTACACTCCGGGTCTTTACTGAACTTTTTAATTTCCGTTTAGCTTCTTTTCTATCCAGTAATTTAACTTAAAAAGTACAATGGGAAAAAAGTGAGGGTAGTTTTATTTGCATTTGCATGTATCAACAAACATTTAGCTCATTTGCAAAGTTCATTTCATACGGGTAGAACTTTTGACGGATATGAAACCGAGTATGAAACTAGCCCAAAAACACATGTTTTATTTGGGTGTGGGTATTTTGTACTGTTACTTTTATGTTTAACAGGTGTATCAGAGACATATCTATACGTGTATATAGTCTTCAACACTATGCCCTAGGATATTGATCCTCAATTAATGCAGGATAATACAAGAAACCGAATTGACTGACTGAATATGAACAAAAACAAAAACAAGAAACAGTCAACTAAGCAAGTACCTGGTCCTATTTCCCGTTAAAGAGATCCATGTTTAAATTTTTTTATATATATTTATATATGTTTTTACTATATTTGTGTTGTTACATTGTAAGCGAACACACGGTAATTTTAGGCCGGCCGGTAAAATAAGCTGAAATAATGAACATGATAAAGTAACTGTTGGAAATAGCTGGTAGCAGGAAAATAGACAAATAAGAGTATATGTCCATGCCCTCATGCGCCTTTGTTGGAGGATGTTAAACGAGTTTCCATAGACTAATCTCTGTTGAATTTTGACACAGTCTCCTGGATTATTACCTTAAAAAGACTTTGAATGGTCATATAATCTATTGAAATATAATTCGACTGTCTCAATATTTTTCTTTTGACGTAGTGACATCCTCTTTAATTTTTTTACTTATACTTAGAATTTTCCCCGGATATGGTTTGTAAGGTTGGAAAGACATATCTTTTAAATTAAAGATTTCATGAACTTTGAAAGTAAAACGGATTATATACCGCCGAAGATACCAAACCGGGCTATCAAAATCGTCACACTAGCTGACCTTGCCACGACATTAAACAATTATTTTGATATATACATCTAAAAAACATATATAATTCAACCTGTATTTAAATAAAAATAGGATGTGCATGTAGGGTAAGAACGAGCCTTGGGGGCGAACGTGTGGGTTGCGAACGTGTAGGATGCGAACATGTCATGGGCACGAACGGACCCGATACCGTAAAAAAGTTGACATCAAGATATTGAAATGCAACGAAGTTACAGAAAGCAGGCTGGTGTTGGCAAGGCTGATACTTCTTTTTTGTCAGTTTTGATAGTACAAATATGATGTTATTAAACATGGAAATCTTAATGATTTCGTTGATAGGGTATATAAGATATTATTTTATGACTTTTGAGAAAATAAGATCTTAATTCGTATACTTTTCCAAAATCAATGCAATCACGAGGACCGCATGATATCATGTGATTTCACCTAGCTGCCAATCTTTTGTACTAGATATGTTTGTGCCATGTCCAAAAGAGAAATGACATCAAGACAAACAACTGTCCACAAAACACGACACAGAAAACTAAAGATCGAACAACACGGACCCCACAAAAAACAGGTTGTGAACTCAGGTTCTCCGCAAGGATCTGCAATGCCTGTTCATCTGGTGCTATCCGACATGTTGAAATACGTAGAGGATTCATATTCAACAATTAGTCATCGGTCTATGTAGTGAATTGGTAAGTTTCTCTTGTTTGACCTAAATACATCACCAATTTCATCAACCATAAGTATATTAAATTGATGACCAACCATCAAACGTGTCCCAATGTGAAAGTTTGATTTGAAAACAGGGTTATGTTTTACTACAGTTATGAAAGCATGACCGGTTGCAATGCAACAATTAAAATACATAGTTCGACAGGATGCAAAACTATAAGTTTTCATAACTGTAGTAAAACATAACATACTACAGTTATGAAAACCTATAGTGAATCCTGTCGAACTATGTATTTTAATTGTGGCATTGCAACCGGTCATGCTTTTCTCAGACTGTTTATGACGTCTTTATACTAAATCAGTTGAATGTGTACTGATAACTGATAATTATTGTTACTATAGTCTGGGAGAACATGATTAATTTATTAGTTGTAATTCGCTTTGAACTACCTTTTAGTAACTGTCGGTACTCTTAGGTGCACGATGGGAAACGCCAAATATCCCGGTCGTCCCACCTTGTAGAACCCATCTTTTGTAGGAATTGTCCATTTTTTCTCGTCCTTTATATGCATGAAATAACTGCCACTTGACGTTAAGCAAGCAACAATCACGCAACCTATCTTGGCCGTACGATAATCTAGTTGTTTTCATCTTTGTCCTTTGTTCTTTAACTTGTTGGACAGTTGTCTTGTTGGTAATCGTAAAACTTCTCATTTTTAGCTCACCTGGCTCAAGGCCAAAGTTAGCTTTTCTCATCACTTGTCGTCCGTCGTCGTTAACTTTAAAAAAAATCGTCTTCTCTGAAACTACTGATCCAAATTTAATCAAACTTGGCCACAATAATTGTTAGGGTCTCTAGTTTAAAAATGTATTCGATGACCCCGCCTGCCAACCAAGATGGCCGACATGGCTAAAAATAGAACATAGGGGGTAAAATGCAAGTTTTGTCTATTATCTTAAAAACTGAAAATCCACTATAGAGAAAATCTGACAAGGGCAGAAATGTTTGAAATGATAAGATCTACCTATTGTCCATTTACTTCCAAATTGTCAAACTGTCAAACGACTTTTTATATGAGTTATTACCCTTAAATGACGAATTTTACCAACTTTTTGAATGTTTGCCCATTATCTTGAAAATTATAAAAGATAGAGAGAAACTTTTTATAGCAAACATGATTAGCAAGATAAGTTCTACAAATAAGTCAACATGGTTGAAATCGTCTGATGATTCCTTATTGGAGTTATTGCCCTTTAACGACGATTTCTTCTTATTTTTGCGTTTTTGCCTAATATTTGAAAAAGTATAATAGATAGATAGAAACTTAAATAGGCAAAATTGACTAAACAAGACAAGATCTACGAATAAAACGATGAGTTGAAATCGTCTGACGACCCCTTATTAAAGTTATTGCCCATTAATGATGGTTCTGACCAATTTTTTGCGTTTTTACCTTATATCTGAAAAACTATAATAGAAAGATATATAGAAACTTAAATAAGCAAAATAATCAGCAAGACAAGATCTATAAATAAGTCAACATGATATAAATCATCTGATGACCCCTTAATGGAGTTGTTCTCATATTTCTTTTAGTTGTTGTCTACTGTCTGAAAATATATTAGATAGAAACTTAAATAAGCAAAAATAATCTCTTATATAGCTGACTATACGGTATATGTTTTGTCTATTGTTGAATGCCGAAAGTTGCCTAAATCCGCTTCATTTGAACTTTGTTGGATAGTTATCTCATTGACAATCATATGTACCACTTCACTTATTTGATATTGTATATAGAAAGTGTTGTCTCCGACCAGAGGAATAACTTTAAGTAAAAAAATCCAGAATATTTCGTTTGCATAAAATCCGTCTGAATTTAAAAACAGATATTTTAAACATTTTTTTAATGTACATAAATCAAATTTATCCTTTAAATCTTTACAAAATTAAATGTCCGGAAACAATAAACAATCAAGGGAATTAACGTATATCCGGGTGTTTCTCCTCACAAAGGTCATTAGCAACGTTCTTCAGGAATGCACACCGCAAATTTAAGGAGTAAATATCCGGAAGAAGGTCAATCCATCTAGAACATGGCTTCAAACGTAGTAAATTTTGATTTCTTATATATAGAATTCATAAATATCATGTTCATTTATATAAAGTTTTGTTTTTTGAACAAAATACATTCTTAAACAAAAATAACAACGAAAGGTTTTATTTCACTTCTACTGGGAGACGATACTATCGGAGTACTCTACAAGTAGAATGGACCACTGTTAAGAAGAGAATATACTGAATATACTTATAGAACAAAGCAAAACGTACAATAT